ACTATATTCGATTTCAATCATCTATTGGTAATTTTAACCGAATAAAAGTCATTTTTTTCGCAAGGGCAGCTCAAATGACCGAAATTTAATTGAATGTATAAAGATGGTGTAGTATTTATTAGGGAGAAAATCGGAAAATTTTCGTACTGTTACTCGTACTGGTACTGTTACCATATTTAGTTGAAAATTATTTCGAAAATAATAATGTTATTATAAAACATCTGCTTCAAATTCCATTATAAAAGTTTAAACGAATTGCTTTGGAAACGTTTTATTTATTCAAATGAAACTGATGACAATTGGCAATTGAGAAATCCAGCATGTTCATATGGATCATTTAAATATTTTGACATTTGGATAGATTTTTCTGGCTTGTAGCATTTTTTCAGTTCAACGTATTTTTTGCCTTGAAAAGAAACTCGCTTGAAGAAATTTAGTTATTTCGAAATGATTTATTCATTTTAAATGAATAAATTTAATGAAAAAACCGACATTCTACGCTAGACAAAAAAAATTTATTATTGAAAATTACCAATTGCTGACACAATATAATTTATATAGACAATTGCTGGATGTGGTAATTCATTTGTTAAAATAGTATCCGAAGTAGTAACTTTACCAACAATTTATTTTTAAATCTTGTCAACACTCGTAACTGTTTGTTTACACATGGGACATTTATTCTTGGATGATGGTGTATTTTGCCACGTATCCCAACAAGTATCGCACATTTCGTGATCACATGATAAACGGGCATTTACCTTATTATTATAGCATATTGAGCAATCATCGTCATCTGAATCGCTTGATTCATTTTCTCTTGTTTCAGATTGAGTGCCCGAAAAGATTTCGGTCTTGCCAAAAGGACCGATTCCTCCCCAGAAAACTGGGTTACGATTTTCCAATGAAATGCCAAATTTTTTAAAACGATTTTTCATTAGCAGGCTGCCATATATACCGATTGTACATTCAGTCAGCGCTGTGTTAGGTTGAGTTCGTGAAACGTTGCCGATTCCAGTTTCATTTAATTCCCCCGTTAAAAATAGTCGTTTTGTAGATGTTGCAATATGGATGAAAAATGCGATTAAATGATCATCGTTGAAAGCACCCGAATCTGTATCTGGCTCATATTTTACGTAGACATCTATATCTCCGAGTTGATCCCAAATTCCTACCTTTTTGGAGGTGTGAATTACTTGAACATAATCTGCGTCACCTCTCTTAATGGTATCTTTTATTGTTGTTCCCAAGAGAGGTGTTTTTATTGGATCCAAAGCTATTTAAGTTCGATAAATTT